AGTTCTGGTTTAGCCCAAACCAGGACAGGATCTTAAGCTTATTTCTCTGTTATTAGAGTTAGAACATTCCTATGAGCTCTCTGAGGATCCTGTCTTGTATCATTCTTGAATGAAGGAAGAAAAAAATCTACTGGTTATACAAAAACGAGTTCCTATTTTCGGTAGGTTGCTTTTGTATCTCTATTTAGATGACAGAAATGGACATAAAGTCTGGACTTGGCAGTTGTGGGTAGTTAATATTAAGTTAATAAGTAGGTAGTTCATATTCTGCTGAGAGTATTTACTCTTGGATTTTTTTCTCAACTCTAGACCTTTTGAAGACTTGCGTATACGTATCTGTGTTAGTTATATTTGGTACATATTTGATGTTGCTTAAATTCTTTTTTAATTAAAGACTACCTTCCTAGAGGAACCTTAAGGCAAATACTGTGGTCCATGGTCTTTAGCAAAATTTTGGAAAAGACTGTAATGCCATAATCTTTTATTTCGTTATCCTATTGTTGGAGCATAAATGACCATTGTAAAAGGTTACATGTTTAAACAGTACAATTTTGGATGCATTGACGCTGCTAGATACCAGCATGTGCTGATTTCAGCAATCGCAAAATAGTAAAACCTGCAGGAGAGGAAAAATATTAGAGAGACAAACTGTGCAAAGAAAAGTGGGTGTCAAAACAAGAAACCAGGAGGAGGGAACAGAGATAGATAGGCCATGGTCTTGAAGTCCTCCTTTCTTGAAATTACTGGGGGATTTTTTTTTTTAGTAGTTTTATTTCTTTCAGAGGAATCAAAATTTCACCCTGGTCTCTGTTTGGTAAGTTGACTGATTAATCTCAGCTTGTAGTCTCTGATCCTCATCTGCCAAACTGGATTACTACAATCCTTTAGGAAGTAAAATAACTATTTAGCTTGTATAGGAGCACTGCTTAGCAGTTCTAAGATTTTCTTCAGTCTTCACCTGTTTATAGAAATAGCAGAAAAGGGCAGAGAAAGAATTAGAAATTATACTGATAATACTATAAGAATAAATTGTTCTTCACATTAAATTTTCATACTCACGTAAGCTGTTCTAAGCATCAATGCATGTTATTTGGAAAGATACTAACTGAGGATTTAGTTATTTGAGGATGACAAAGGAATTTCATGTTAATTAATTTGGAATAATTGTTAATTATAATAATTAAATTACTATAATCAGCTTTTCTTCAAGTACTACATATCATATAATAAATTCCAGTGACAAGGATACAGTTTACTGATTATAAATGATTAAGGTCTTTAGACCAGCTTAAAATTAATTATATGCAATATCGTAATTCTGTTGAAAATATAATCTTATTAAAAGAATAAGATAATTTGAAAATAAGTATTTTGTTTGTGGAAACAGTCAAATTTTATTGGAAAACTGAATACTGAAATATTCTAAAGAAGTAAAAGTAACAGTATTCGAAATACTGAGCTATACACTGGCTCAAACAGTTTTTGAATCTTCAATCAGAAGACTTTTCATGACAGAATTAATTTCTATAGTGGGTTTTTTCCATAGAAACAGAGCAAAGTAGAGTTTGCAAGGTATGAAGAATCTTAATCACAGAAACGTCATAGAATCATAGAATATTTTGGGTTGGAAGGGACCTTTAGAGGCCACCTAGTCCAACCCCCCTGCAGTGAGTAGGGACACCTTTAGCTAGATCAGGTTGCTCAGAGCCCCATCCAACCTGACCTTGAATGTTGCCAGGGATGGGGCTTCTGCCACCTCTCTGGGCAGCCTGTGCCAGTGTTTCACCACCCTCGTTGTAAAAAACGTCTTCCTTATATTTAGTCTAAATCTAGCCTCTTTTAGTTTAAAATCATTACCCCTTGTCTTATCACAACAGGCCCTGCTAAAAAGTTTGTCCCCATCATTCTTACGGGCTTCCCTTAAGTACTGAAAGGCCACAATAAGGTGTCCCCAGAGCCTTCTCTTCTTCAGGCTGAACAACCCCAACTCTCTCAGCCTTTCCTTACAGGAGAGGTACTCCAGCCCCCTGATCATCTTTGTGGCCTTCCTCTAGACTCGCTTGAGCAACTGTTTCTTGTGCTGGGGGCCTCAGAGCTGGACATAGTACTCCAGGTGGGGTCTCACCAGAGCAGAGTAGAGGGAAAGAATCTTCTCCCTCGTCCTACTGGCCACACTTCTCTTGATGCAGCCCAGGGTATGGTTGGCCTTCTGGGCTGTGAGTGCACATTACTGGCTCATGTCCAGATTTTCACCCACCAGTACCCCCAAGTCCTTTCAACCTGCTTGTGGCTATTTTTCAGACAGCTCTTCATACTCTATCCATTTCTTGATGTAGAGGGCAATGCCTCTGCCCCTCCTTCCTTGCCTGTTCCTTCTGAACTATTCAACTTAGTGAATTGTTAATAGTCACAGTAGTATAGGCTACAATCTTTTCATAACAATGGGAGCTGCATGGTCCCATGGCAAAGGGATTGTTCACAGCTGGAGTGAGTGCATATGCATTTACCTTGTTATGGATACCACCTTTATTTTTCCCCTGAAGCTGACCAGAAAATATTTCATAGCAGCATCGAGAACTTTGGGAACCAAGTTGCCTGAGGAGAGGCAGTCTAATTGATCGTTCCCGTTTCGTAGGGTCAGGATTTCCTGTTAGAAAACTGAGTTGGATCAGTTTTCTATAAAATTACTTTATAATAAACAACTTGGCATTTGAACTTGAAATTTGTTCTGCCTTTAGAAAAATAGAATTTGAACAGTCATCCCTTCCCAGTATGTTAGCATTTTTTGACAGATCTTGCATATGGGAAGAAACCGTTTCCTATTTGATTTGCCAAAGCATATGTATGCATTCTTTTAATTGCTACCTTGCATATATTATTCAATTTGCTGTGTTATGATGCATCACGGTAGCTTGCTAATGTTCTTTGTTCAGTGTGAATTCCAAGATAGACATTTTGGTTGCAGAAGACGTTTGATTTAAAGAAAAAAATCTTAAGGCTTTAAGTACAGGCATCATATAGTTGAAAGCCAACGTAACATTTTCATGTATGATTACACATGCTGGTTCTACATTTCTCGCTATGGTTCTTCTGTTTTCAAACCTCTGTGAGACTCAACTAGTTGTGAAACTTACTGCCTCAGCCCGTGATATTTTATTCTAGAAAACTGGTAAAGTAATATGTAGTTTCCTGTAACTTAGTAGAAAATAGAGGGAAAAAGAAATCACTTTAGCCAAGAGAGAAGAGAACAACTTACTGTCCTTTTGTCATTGCATCAATGGCAATTTTAATTTTGAAGGCATGTCTCTGTATTATAAAGGGAGAATGGGTCTTTAATAACAAGGTAGAAGTAACAGTAAGGAACAATCTTTGAAATTCTTTCTTTGCATTTAAAAGGAATCTTTCTTAAAGATCTTTTTGTAAACTTGCACAAATTTGTTTTGCAAGCAAGCTGAACATATAATGAAAAACATTATCTGATACGCTGTGCCTCATATATAACAATTGTACCAAAAGACTGTGTAGTGCTTAGGTAAAAAGTCAAGCATTCAGAAGTTAGAAAAAGCCTGAATTATATTGTTGTAACCTCTGACAGCACCAACAAAGAGCCTGTGGCCCTGGGCTGAAGCATGGGTGCATCTAGATTCTTCAGAAAACTCAATTTAAAATTCCAAGTTTCTCTAAATATTAATGCAAAACTTGCAAGGTGACATTTCAGTGACAGCAAGAGTATGCTTTTAATGTAACCTTTTTCCCAATTGTAAGTCCTTGTGCTAAAGTTGGGAGACACTGGAGATTATCGGCAAAGCTATCATAAGAATTCTCATAGCATGGGCAGCCAATGTATATTTTTGCAAAATTTACCTGGTAGGTATGCGTGGCAACCTGAAGGTGTACACATACATGGCATAATATGTGTCCATAGTAGAAGCGTCTGAAGGAATCTTGCTTACAGAAAGAAGCAGAAATTTCCTATGGAACACTGTTTTATTACTGTCTTACCATGCTTTATTTCATGCTGTACAAAATAGTGCTGCCACCTCATTGTTTTATTATTAAACCAGTGATGTTTGGTGCAAGATCTTTGCCTATGTTTTCTATTTTAGTTTCTTGGAGTGGTGGAATTACATGGAAATATCAAACTACTTCCTTTAAACTGTCTTTCCAATTCTTACAATTTCAGGATAAGGGAGTAATAATTGTAGGGGCGTTACAAAATGTGCCTCAGTAATGTCTAAAATGTTCAAAACCCAGCAGTAAGTAGAATGAATATTTCTGTTCTGTATAAGGCAGAATGTCATCACCTTTAGGACTGCTTCTCCAGTTTAATTGTCATAGGATAAGGGATATTTATTTGGTCTTTTCTTCCTAAGGTATGAGGTCTGCCAAAAATACTGGGCAATGACAGGGCTTTCAGCTGCATCTGACTTTCCTGTTCTTCGTTGAAGTGGTTTCTAGTTTCTGAATGCATCTACTTGTCTCTGTGGTGCTCTGTAACTAATAACTTCTTATTACTTACACAGTAAGTTTAAAAGAAAGAAACAAACAAAAAAAAACAACAACAAAGAGACAAGATTATCATTACAGAATAACAGTAAGTTTTCATTTCTTCTAGATAAAGATCTTGACAAGCTCTTATCTCTCTTAAAAAGTCCAGAGAAGCAAACTGGTTGGACAGAAATTTGTAGAAAACAGTTCTGCAAAGTCATGAAAGCCAGACCGGATGTCATCAGTGGAACAAGTGAGTATGACTTAATGAGTTAAAGCAAGCAAACAGAAGGCCACTAGTAAGCAACCGTTCTTTAAAGTTTCATTGAGGATTGCATTGCACAAGTAGTCAATAATTTTGTGTTGATAACGAAAAATATTTCAGTGGGATTTTCCTGAGAAAACAAGGCTTATGCCTCATGTCCTATTTTTTTCTCTTTATGGCCATCATCCCCCTGCATTGGCTGTTTTCAGTGAAATTTGACACAGAAAGAGCTGAAATACAAGTCTTTGTTTCAGATCTCGGAAGGGTTTATTATTGAGGTGCTGAGAAAATGGAAAAGAGAGCCTGAGAGAAAATAGATGTTTCCCAGAGATCAGTGCATGACTTTAAGGCAGGTTGGACAATTACATTAATGGCCAATTTCAGTAAAAATGTTCAGAATTAAGCCATACTAAACATCAAAGAACCCCCTCATTCAGGTGTTTCTTCATTTTCATATGTATTTTCCAGTGAAGAGTGTGCTCATGCAGGAACGTTGGTATAGATCAGTTAAAACAAACAAAGTCAGCAATCACCCATATGACATAAATAGTCAGAAATCAGATGTAATAATTCACTTCTAGTATATAAATTTGTGTAGCAGTAAAGCAATAAAGAAGCATTTGCAGAAATTGCTGGCTTTCATTTCTGTAAGAATTGTGATTATGGTCAGATGGTCAGAACACAGTCTAACTTTTTTTTACAGATGCCAGAGGTTTCCCTTCAAATTTTTTAGATAAGCAATTAATACAGTTGGCAGTGAAGACAGATGAAATACCTTCTATATGGGATGAAAGTAACCCAGTATGTGTGTTCTACATGAGACCCGAATTTTATGATAAATTATATAGCAATGTAGGAGTTACAAGGTGGTTTCAGAAGCCTTAAGGAAGTAATTTATACAGGAACTGATTTAATATTAAAACAGTTAATAAGAAATTTGTCATTTGTATGATGTGGTTAAAGTCAATAATTATTGAATGTTTCTAAATTCTCAGAGCTTTCTGTTCTTACTGCTTGTATGAAACAAGCTTGAGTCTGTAGTCTTAGGTGATTGTAAATTAGAGCTTTCACGTTCCATTTGGAAGAATGTGTGTGTAGACAGAATACATATTTATTTGTATATAATGCGAATATGCACTTACAATGCACATTATATGGTACACGTCCACGTATATTGATAGCTTTGTGAAACAGGTGAACAAACAGAATAACCTTTCAAAAAATTTAATGTATTTTGTATGAGCTTCTGCTAGTATAAGAAAAATAAATTGAAGAGTAGCAATTATAAAACCCCTAGATTTTTCTAGCAAAATGGTATGTTTACTTTTCTTGCATGACTGATCTAGTAGTTCAGTGAAGGTTTTTTTGATGTTATATATTGTGAAGCACAAATAATTTCGTCTTTGTAAAATCAATTTTATTTGAATGCAGCATATTTTCTGCACTGATCACTTCTTGGATTATGTGAATTTTTGGTTGAAAATTTTTAATCTGTTTTCGTGCATCAAAGAGGAGTTTTTTGTTGAAAAACCATATTTTTACAAAAACCAGAACATACATTTAAAGTAGGTGGCTTACAAAGAAAAAGGAAATCTTCCCTTTTGTGCTCTGTAGCTCCATATGCAGGTTCAAAAACTGTGTAGGTTGTTTTCTGTAACTTTGTTGGAGGTACCAGAAGCTAGAATGAGGAATTCTAGAGTCATTAAGATTTGCTAACCTGAAGCAAAAAGTTCTGAATAACTGTTTCCAGCTGAGATGGAACTGAGAGCAAAAGTCAGCAAGAAAATATCTGTGGAATTGTTGTTAAGCCTCACAGGGACTTCTGCAAGTGCTTTCACAAACCACACACACAAAAAAATAAAGTATGAAAATAGAACCAGAATAGCATAATGAAACACTGAAGAAATAAATAAAACAAGCTACAAAAGAATAGTAATATAAACTAAGTGTGAGTACTGGTATTTTAAGGTGGATGCAAAGCTGTTCAAATGATGCATATCTGCTTGGAGGTATTTCAGAAGCAGCAAAATATCAGCTAGCTGTGTGGTTTGAGACACCGTTATGTTCATTGAAACTATTTTATGAGAGAGAGCTTTGCTGCTATGTGTCTTTTGCAGCATGTGAAGCTCTCCCAAGTTTCAGAAGACTGAGAGGCTTGTGTCCAGATCCCAAGAAATCAAAAGTTGCTCTTTAGTTACATATAGAGAAAACTCCAGGGATTTTGGAACAAAGATGTAGTACTTATGTTTCCTGTACTCGGCCCTTTCTAAGGGAGACTAACATTAACAGCGGTTGAACCAGAACATAGTCAACAAAGGCAACACTGGATTCAATGACAGTATAGTGTAGCGTATATTAATTTTTAAAAATATTTTGTGGTCTGGTGTCAGGATTACCAGACGTTGAATCTATAGAACCTGCTTGAACTCCGTCAGAAAATTCTTGAGAGCAAACTGTATGGTATCGATAGCTCTAATTCACTCTTCTGGTGTTGATTACCATCACGTTGACTAGGTCAATGTCTTTGTGCTAAATGCTATGGCATCACACTACTTCTGGGAATGTCCCTAGATGGGCGTTTTCTCTACTAAAGCATCACCTCTGACTGTAGCTTTTAAGTAATTTCTGTGGTCAAACATCAAGATCCAGTTTTGAATGGCTTTATTGAACCAGTAAAATGAGATATAAAGCTTCCTCAGGCTTACATGTCTTTCAGTGGGGCTGGACTGAAAGTGTGGGATTTTTCTTGATCATCTAAAAGCAAATCATGTTGTAGACAACCAGCTTCTTCATTCTGTTATTCTAAGCACAGTAAGCTAACAGAAAGGCATTCTTTTAGTCATTCCTTCTACAAAGGTGCCACAGAACTGTGGATGCTAGGGATATAGCTGGTTGTTGAGCATCTTTGCATGTGTCTTTGGGTCACTTAGGGTCAGCCGGAGAACTACTGATAGAACCCTTGGTCAGGTTAAGTCTTGGCCTCTTTTGGACTACTCTTCACAATGCTTGTGGCCTCCCTGAAGCATCTTTAGTGCATCTAGATAAGAGCTTTCTGTGTCTTGGCACCTAGGCTTTGGCAGGAGGAGAAACAGGAAAATCAGCTCCTCTGAGAAATAGCTTAGATTTATGTAGAAAATTGTTTGGCTTTGTGAATCTAGTCTTGGCGTATTGCATGTTCAAATAGTTTGCATGATTGGGAGGTATTTTTTTTTTGAACCAGTGATCTTGGTTTGACTGTTTCTTCCGTGCCTTTTTCAGTTGTCTCCCCCTTCTCATCTTTCAGGTTTTGTAGAAGGCATTTCTGTTTTCAGCCTCAGCAACTCGTTTTTTTATCTGCTCATAGTTACTGTTGTGTCAGCAGCTGATCTCTTTCCTGTCTGGGCAGATACAACACCTTTAATCCTCTCCTCTCTTAGGAGACTTTAGACTCTTTAAGTAACAGAAATTGAGGGTGTTGCAGAGATCACATAATTATATGCTAACGTTGTTCCCTTCATAATTGAGAGGTAATTAGTCCCCAAATCTTAATCATTCTCCTCAAGCTTTATATCTGTATGTGGATATGGATAGGGATAGTAAACTCTGCTAAAGTGACTTGCTCCATGGAGTCATTCAGTTTCCATGGCATCTCCCTCAGGAATCAGGACTTAGATTACCAATGGTTTTTAGGATCTATTAATTAACCTCCAAAATGTTCTTTCTTAAACAAACAAATAAACAAATACATGTGGGAGGCATATTTCTTTTTTAAGGTAATTTTCATCTTCAGGCAGTTACTCTTTTAGTCTCAGCAATTATTGATGACTTCAAAGATATGACAAACATAGCAGCTTTGGAAATTGCATATGAGATCTTACTGGAAAACACAGGATTTTTCTTCATATTTTACAAGCAGAATGGTTGATGAATGCAGAGTGGTTATGATCAGCCTGGTGTTCTGCAATCCATTAATGCTTTGTGAGCTCTGCATCATCTCAAATTGATCTTTTTAAATATGGACCAAATCTTCTGCCTTGAAGATCACTCAGATCTAGATTCTGCACATGGGCTGCTCTCATTTTTTAGTATGGCCCATTTAAAAATACTGCTTTTGCAAAAAAGGTTTTTAGAATAATACAAAGATTTGTATTACAAATGTTTACATTTTTATGTCTTACTGGATTTTTTGAGGAGGCTTATCTCAGAATTAGAGTGGAACAGTGGGTCTTTCATGTTATGCAGGAAGAACAATTGCAGATCAAAACTTCTTCCATCTGTCCCCCAAACCAGTTTGGAGCAACTTCCCGAAGAATATCCTGTAAGCAGTGTGAGTGCATGAGAATGTGCATGCATGTGTGTGAAGGTTAAACATTTGATTAGGATTTGAAAGGCATGAATACAGAAGATACGTGTGTATCGGTGTAAGATACACAACCTTCATCTCTGATGGAAGTACTGTCAGAATTTTTATTATCTTGTTTTCTTCTCTTTGAAGAAAATGCAGGTTGTTCCTTTGCTACTTAATTGTACAATAATTGAAAGTCTATCCTGTTATCTTAGGAATTCAAAAAAGTTTTCCTTATTGTTGGCATTAGGAAGAGAATTGTCAACTGTGTTTGTCATAGATTTATTAAACTGAAGTGTGGCTGATAGATTTGAAGATTTCTGACACTACTCTTACGAAGAAGTCAGCTATCCAAGGTTTTCACTCTTGAATTTTTAACCTCTAGCACAAGTCAATCAGGACTACTGTTAATTCTTAAGAAAGTTCTTTTTCTGTTAAACTCCTCTGAAGCATCTGTGAGTTGATATAGAATATGATCCAGTAACACTAGTTACATTAGAGGATCTAAAAAAAATCTGATGCTTTTCAATGTTTGACCTTTTTGGCTTAAACCGAAGTAGGAATTAGATAACCTCTCATGATGGTTACATATTAAAACAGTTTTAATCACACGATTTTTTAAAAATCAGTGTTCTTGTGCAGTTTAGAAGCCATTTTGATTACCTTCCTTTTGTACATTGGTTCTTCAAGGGGAAAAAAAACCCACATCCTCCAGGAATTCAGCTGTTTTATGAGCATACTGCAGTCATTTAGGGAATTTTAAACCCCTTTCATTTATTTTGTATGTGATTACACACTCCTAAATTAAAATTCTCTTAATTTTAGATCTGTGGATTAAATTTGCATGAGGTAATTGCCAGTCTCTTAAAAACTTCACTGTTAATACAGGCAAGCTACCATAATTTAAGAAAATCAACATTTTTACTGAGTTGGCAGGCCACAACTCTAATCTCTATCTCTGAATATAACCTCTGCATGAGATTGTGGGCTTTTACAACAATACTGTCTGTACTATACAGTGAACTTGCCTAAATTTCTTTTGTCTACTTTTCTACTTAAATGAAAAGTCACCGAACCATTTTCCACCTTTATAAAGATTTTCGGGGAGTGTCCACATGGCAGCTAAATGATTTAGTTTTAACAGACAAACATCTAAATCACTACTTGTCATTTTACACGGATATTCTTTTGGAAGAGACGATGTCCTGTGAAAACCCTCTATTTGTGTATTAACCAAATTTGTTTTGATAAACTCTTATGTGTGTCTTCCTCTCTCAAACTTGATTAAAAGCTTTTCAAAGATCCTGATAGGCACTTAGATAAATGCTTTCAAATGGTGGAAATCAATTTAGTGCTTGAGTTTCAAAAAATTGCTTAGCAGTTGAGCTGTCACTTCTCCCATTAACTCAAGCACTGAACTGAAATATTTGACTGCTAGGTCAAGCATGTGGATGCCTTCCCACATAAAGGGAAGAAATGTACAATGTTCCGACTTGGGTTTAAATTTTCTGAATTTTGTGGTATTTTAGGTTTTCTTAACATCGTTCCTGTTTGCTATTATTGTATGGCATACTTCAGTAATCACAATACTAGTAGTCATACAGTAAACATCTAGCTGGATACAAATTTTAAGTTTAATTTCTGCTTTTTGCTATCTATAATTCCAGGTACAGACACCTTTTCTCATTTTACAGAAATATTTGTTAAATTGTTCGTGGACCAAATTCCACTAAGCATATTACTGAAGATCATTGAGATTGTTTATTCTCCCAAAATAAACAAACTGTTACTCCTTTATAAAATAAATTGCCTTTTGCTAGTCCCATGTGGTTTATTAACCATGATTAAAAATAGCTATGTTATGTTTAGCAGTTTCTTCTCTCCATAAAAATGCATAAGAATATAAATTACTCGTATAATTTTTTTTGTTTTGATTTAGTAGTCCTTTGCAATGCAAAATTGATTTTGTTACTGTTGGAGCTAGCTACTCTAACTGTAAATCCATGTTTAGCTGTTGCAGTGAAACTTCTTTTCTCCTTTGCCCTACTCATCAACATAGTATTACCAAAACTCAACCTTTTAAAAACTTTTCCTGCACTCATTCAGTCTAAATTAATTTCTGTAAATGCTTAAAACAGCTAATCAAGAAAAAAAAAGTAAATCATGTTTTTATGTCAGTATCTTAGCTCAAAATGATTGGAAGAAGAGTTAATTGTCTTTACGATATCTTTTTCTTCAGCATTTTTCTGGCATAGGAAACATCAGACTGTGGGTGGAGGTTCTGTCATCTTCTTCCTCCTCCTCACACACGACAGAGCTTGCACTGCAATCTCCTGTGTTAGTTTTCCTGTCAGCAAGGCTAGTTCAAGACTTTTCTAACTTTCTCCATTGCCACCTCCACCACAGCTTATTATGTCTTACTTCTGCTTCTACAACTGTTCATGCAGCTATCTGCTAAAATGGTTTAGTGGAATTATTCAGTCTGAAACCAGCAAAACCACCTGTGGGTGCATGGAGTTATGTGCAAGAATGGGTGAGTAGGGGCTGAAGCTTCAGCACTATTAAACTGAGCTGCCGTGAAGGAAATGGTAACACGCAGTCTTACAGCAGGAAATCCCACAAGTAGCAGCACTCGTTACTCTCTAAGTACACTCCCTTGCTTCGCATTAGTGTGAAAAGAATGTTATATCACTATTTTTTAAATCCTGATTGTCATGACGGCAGGAGCTGTTTTGGGATATTATTCACTTGTAAAAAATGTTCATTGTTGTTATCTTAATTTCTTAATACGGCTCATCTCAATCTGGGCTTCCTCCATGCAGTTTGTGTGAAAGCTTCCTTGTATCCTTGGTTTAAAGCTGTAAAGGAGGTAGTGTGCTCATTTGCAGTAGCCTCAAACTTGCAGAACAGGGAAATCAGCAACAGGTTTTGCTGATGCTTTGTCATTGAGAGTTCTCGCTGACGTCCTGTTAAGGTTGGAGGTACCATTTCGTACAGAGTGACCAGATACCAGCATCTGGTTTATCTATGCAGTACCTGCAGACTCAAAGGTCCATGGCAAGAACTGAATAAGAACATTGTGGTCATCGTAAAATACAGACTTTCCGAAAGGAAACACTCCTAATCATAAAATACAGAATTTCCTATAGGAAATGCTCCTATTGCTTAATTTTAAGTGAGTAATTTTTATCTTGAGATGGCATAAGTGGTTTTTATATCGTGTTTTTTTGAAACAGCCCTTAAAACTTCATTTACTTTTGTTAGCATCATTTTGGGGTCGTGTGAGTTTTTTGTTGCATGAGGGTGGTGGTTGGTTTTTTTTTTCTTTTTTTTTTTTTTTTATTTCCTGTCTACATACCCAGAGAAATATGGTAAGATTTTGAGTTTAATTATAGTTAATTTTCATTTCATATTGAAGCCATGTAACAACTTCTGAACTAATCCTTGGAGGATGTAAGGATAATACAAGTTTCACTTTGCATTGAATGTATTCTCAGTAAAGCTATTAAAATTTAATTTAAGAATGGTGCGCAAAAGCACAATGCATGCTTTGAATTGTTCCCTCATAAAAACATGAATAAACATGCAGGAATTCAAATAGCTTCAGTTTCTCACATATTGTCATTTTGTTAGGTGATGTAGTTCCACATTTTGTTTATTGCCTGTAATGTTTTAATGGGTTTTTACTTTTTGTAGTTTTGGCAGGAGTAATTGAAAAGTTCGTGTCACATCTTTCTGAAAGCCGATCGGATTGTTATTTCAGCACGGGAAACTATAAAGGTCAGCTTCCTAATAATTTGTTGCCATGCAGCCTCTTCATATTTAAATTACTTTCCTTTTAAATGTATCTTTAGCATTTTGGGGGTTGTTTATTATGTTCTTTAAGAATTCAGAAATTCATTCTGTAGCTGATGGGAAATACCTCACTTTGGAGCAAAAGATGATGCGCTTGAGTAAACAGTACAGATAATTATTAGTGATGGGCTTTCACACTTCTGTGTGTGTAATGGAGAGATGGACATGCAGAACAGGTGAGGGTATGTTTAAAAGTATTTGTAGATGCCTATTACAGAATGATTTGCAAAGCTGGTGGCATAAACATTTAAGATGGTGTAACCAATCTGGCTCACCTTTTGAAAGCCTTGTAATGTATAATCAGTCCAAAGGCATGCCAGTTATATTGCATTAAAGAATATGTATTAAAGAACTGGCATTGTTGGCAGAGTGATCCAAGTGTTAGTTTTGTACAGATGTCGTGCTTATAGCCAAGAATAAAGGATGAATGATAAAGTTAATTTATTCTGAGTGTAAAATAATACATTTTAATAATTTGATGCACTTGCAAAATTAGAAGATTTAGAAGCATTGTTAATATCTGACAGAAAATGCACTTTCATTCTTTACTGACTGTACAAGACTTTTCTCTTAGATTGTAGTTCAACTGGAGAACCAAGCCTGCCTTGGGGGCATTCTGTTATTTATACTAGTATTTTATTCTCATATCCATAGGATGCAAATATAGTGTCCTTGGAGACTTCAGACTTGCCTTTGAAGTTTCGAAGCATAAAACCCCTTTAGTTATTTAGAGGATCTCTCTCTTTTATGTAGTGGTCTTTACCTTCTGAAAGCTTGCTAACGAAATACTCTTAATTTTACTTGAGAATTACTCTCTTAATGAAGAGAGTTGCTGAAGTGACAGTTCTTTCTGTCACTATTTTATTTTTCCTTAAAAGATCCTTAAACTGTTTTTTGTTGTCCTGCATTAGTTTGTCATTTACTTTTCAACTTATCCAGAGGCATAATGAGCAAAAGAATCTTTTCATGGACTCGTAAGACTTGCTATTTACTATTTCTGACACTTCCCAATTAAAATTATGATTTTTATGGTTCCTTTATAAGCCTACTTAATGTCTTCATGTTCTAAATTACTTATTTGAAATCTAGACTGCCCCTCTTGCTCCTTCTCTGTACATCTGTCTTTTTAGGTTGCAGTTCAAAGTATTACACATTTTCTAATGATATGAAAGCCCCAGGTGTAGTTTTCTTTTCTGTCTTGGCGAATGTCTATCTCACATTTCTTTGGAGAATAGTATAGTCTGCAGACCTAAATTTTCAAGGTTATCTTAGTGTTTCTTGTTAGAAAACCAGGAAAACCCACTTGGTTTGAATAAGGCAAAAAGTAACTAGAGGAGGAACAGAAATCTAACTGTACAGCCTCCAAGTGGATGTCTTGCCCAGCAAAGACAGCATCCTGCTGTTTCTTAATCATAACAGCTAAGTGCTTCCATCCCGTGTGGAAGAACTCTAATGAAGGGAAGCAGTAGTCCATACTGTTCACTTAGATGTTGAGTACCTGAGTTTCAATCCACTCTTCTCAACCTTTTGTTCAAAGCTAGGATTTAGAACAAGTTCAGGAGGGTTGAACCTGGATCTTCTACTTCATTGATAAGTGATTTCACCATGAACCATTGGTTAGGTGGAGTTGGCAACAACACTACATGATTTATCTAAAATGTAGTGCCAACTTTGAAGAAACACCAGGTTTTAATACTGTGACAATTGCGTACATTAAATTACTTTTTCGAACAGAAAATCCCAAAGAATAGGTACAGAAATAACATAGTAAAAGCCTCAATTCTTGATTTTTTTGAGCTTGACAGATTTTCTTTGCATAATAAACCCGATCTGTATGACACTCCTTTTTATATTTTCTGAATTTTTTTTTTTTTCATTCAGTCTTATACAGGCACTATTGGACATTAATTCTGCATGTTTGCCTGTTCAGTTCTCAAATAAAAGTTCCAAAATTTAAAGGGTTGGCTGATGAACAATTTTCATTTGCAAATGTTTTTGATATTCCATGTGCTTTAATAAAGACAAGCTTGGAAATGGGAGAGTGAGAAGCCTTCTTGAGGATAGTCAGTATTCTGGCGGCAAGAAACTGGTGTGAAATGTAGGCGAAGGGCTGGTGTAGTCTTAATGCTTTCTTTCCCTGTCAGTGACATCATTACCACAGATGCTT